TTTCGCTTGTGCTCGCCAACTAACTTTACTCACTCACCGTAGCCCACAATTTTGTCACTCCGGTACTGATGTTACAACACTTCAGATGTCCAGCCACCTTTTCCGCATATGCTCGCTGACTAACCTGTTTATTTCCATTATCAGTTCTCTTATTTTGGGTTTAGTACGACGAAACTCATTACGCTCAGTTGCTAATCCCGCTGCCTCTGCTGGGAAGTTAGGTATCAATTAGGGATTACGACCCGCAGGTATATATCGAGCGGTTGCAGCAGTTTACGGGTAATCGGAAATTTCTTTCTGCTACCTTAGCTTCAGAAGGATTGGGCAGTTCTCAGAAGAGACGATTAGTGAAATTCCTGAACTCTTGCCAATTGGCTCTCCCATGGTTTAGGAATGTACCACCGTACATTCCTAAACCATGGGAGAGCCAGATGTTACGAAGTCGGGTGGTCTATTGATGGATATGCTAATAGGGAGGTGATCCCCTATCATCAGACAGTTATTGACTTCCAAAATATGACTAATATCTGGCAAGTAATGCGGGGCACAGCAATTTAACGGCGGAATTTATACCTTAAACACCTATACCCGTACCACACTTGATCGCTACACTTATACATTCCATGTATGGGCCACTAGAATCTAGCTCAAGCGAGATGGGTCTGTACTGGTGCAGGTGTTATTCAGTTTCCTGGATCGCTACGACCATAATTCCTCTGCGACTTACAAAATCCACGATCTCGTCGGCATTTCCTCGACGTCCATCGCATTTCAATTGGACAACTGAGACATTATCAGGAGTTGTGACTGCAATGTGTGGTGTAAATCAGTGTTGCTCAGCCCTTTACGTTTTCGTAAAAACAAACCTCACATATTCTCTCTCAAATTAGATCTGTCCGCATAGGCGGGAGAGTAACATACAAATACCAATGTAAGTAATATGAGCATCACTGGTGTAAATGGCTGCAGGGCAGATTGCTGTTGTGGACATTTGCGGGGCTGTCACGTAATTCGAAGACGACGACTCGCTGGGGTCTGCATTGGCACAGCACGCTATACTCCTGTACCTCTCTTAATTCCTGAAATCCGCATCCAATCAATCTCACCGATATAGACCTATGGTGGATGCGACACGGGCCAGAAGGATAAGGAGCAAACATTCTGGATAATGTAGCACCCATGTTGAAAAAATACACGAACATATAGTTTCTGGGTTCGAACCTTTGGTCGAAGTTTGGGTTTTCGAGTCAATCCGGTACATGGAACCGGCCGTCGTGCGATTGGAAAAATGTAGTATTTTCAATTAAATATGCCTAGATATGAGATGCTTCTTCAGCATCAATTGAAGGTCGAGAAACAGTTATTTTCCTTACTAGAATATATAAGTATTCTATCAATGTTGGAACCGAATTGAAGGGAACTGTGTAATCTCTCTTACAAATAAAACTTTTGTCGGTTTTTTTTGAGGCCGATAGCCTTTTCTGAAAATCTACACAGAATATGGTGATAACATTCGATAAATTTGTAATCATCAGTAATATAGTTCTTTTTGAGAAATTCTTTGATTGAAACCATCAACAATAAGTTTTCGGAAATCTTTTCCGAACTTATCGACCAAAGCTGATGGCTCGTTAGTAAAATAGATTTCAGATGTACTAAATATATCATTATTTATTGAAAAGGACCGGAGTAGGAAGAAAGGTTTTAAATTCACAGTATATAGGACATTTTGCTAGGTGAAGAATTCGGGATCTATCCTTCTCCCAAAAAGAAAATACCGAATTTTTAACATTGCATATTTGGTATTTTTTATTAACACTTAAAGTATTTTTTGTTCGTAGCGTTTTTAATGTGTTTTAGAATATTATTTTCAGTTTTTTTGGTATATATAACATTTTGTTTTTGTTTTTTTTTGTTTCAAAACCTGTTGAAACATATACATAGTATTTTATTTAAAGAAATATTTAACAATTATTATAATGTAGTAATTATTATTAATAGCAAATTATGTTTTAGCACATTTGTTTTTATAAATATATTTTGCTTAGAAAAGGAAGGGATTTATATTAGCTTTTGACATATACTACATACATACATTCTGTTACATATATACATAATTACATTTGGTGATATGTTAGAAGAAATAAGATTTACATTTTTTCCTCTTAATACTGAAAATGTACTGAAAAAACATACATCTTTGGCAGCCTTAGGTTATATAATAGAAAATTTTAAAATAAATCTATTGATTTATGGCACTTAACTAGTTACAAATCTATGTATGTGAATTCTAAAAAAGAAAATATTAAATAAAATTTTAGGAAGGACTTAAAATATTTCTTTGCCAATTTTTTGTATAATTTTATTTATCAAATTGTAGGTTAAGATTTTATAACAATATGTATAAAGTGAAAAGTACAAGGTTTGAAAGCACCATAACAATATTCCCGGATTGGAAAACTTTACGATTATATTAGGTTGGGGAAAAAGAAAACCACTAGGTCGTCGAAAATGTCTATAAAATCGGAGAAATAATCGAAGTTGTCCGGCATGTTAGCAGTCGTAACATCACCCAAGAACAAAACACGACCATAAAACCATTTATAAAGTTGGATTCAAAAAGAAGATCGATGTTTGGGTGCCACACTAATTAACAGAAAAAATAGGATGAATCGAATGAAGCTGGAGATGAGAAATGGAGCACATACGATAACCCTGTGCGAAAACTATAGTGGTCTATGGGCGGTGAAGCACCTCAAACGGTGGCCAAAACCAGGACTAACGGCCAGGAAGGTTCTGCTATGCATTTGGTGGAACTGGAGGGAGATTATTTATTATGAGTTGCTTCCATATAACCAAACGCAAAATTCTGATCTCTACTATCAACAACTGGACCGTTTGAAAATAGCAATTGACCAGAATTGGCCAACAGGAGAGGTGTCGTGTTCCAACAAGACAACGCTAGTCCTTTTTTTTTTAATACAAATTCAAAAATTGGTATCTAGGGAGGATTTTTATATAAAAATAATGGAATTATTGTTTCCTAACCTAACATCACCATCAGCAAAAACCAAATTGTTTAGGATATATTGTGTTAATTTGCCGTCAGATGTCCTCAATTTGGCTGAAATACTGGAACCTTCTAGGGATGGATAGTGTGGTAATAAACATCCTGCTGGTTGCAGACACTTTTCAAGAATTTAAATTATAATGGACGGACGGACACACATAGCTAGATTGATTCTGCTAGTCGAGATAAGGCATCGTGTCGTTACAAGCTCATGCGACCATATTATTTTTGGTAAGCTGTCAGTTTAGAAAATTTAAATGTTACGAAAACGTAGATTATTATAGTCAATAAAATTTATTTTTTGGAATAGCCACTAGATAGCATAGTTTCAAATGTACGTGCCTCTCGCTTTTATCGACAGCAAAAGTACCAACCATTAATGATAATTAAGGTGAAACTTAAATTATACTTTGTGTCTTTGTTATCGATCATAGGGTGGCATATATTTCCGGTGTGTGTGTCTCCGCTGTGGTGAAATAAATTAGCGACGTCAAACAGTCATTCCAGCAACTGGGTTTTATGGGATCGAGTTTTTATTCTCATAAACACTCTATTGACGTTATGTTCAAAATAAAATGAATAGTGTTTCCAACATCGAATTAAACATATTACAAATGTGAATATATCGCATCCGAAATTTGCGGATAAATTCTAGATGTTGGGATAAATAGTAATCTGTAGAATAAAATTCGTGCACTTTGATAAAATGTAAATTGAAATTCAGAATAAAATAGCCTTAAGTAATTTTTTTACCTTTTTTAGTAGGATGTTTTTGGGAAGGCACGCAATATCCCATGAAATAGTGTCTGGAATAACCGCTAGGTATCGCGGTTTTAATTTACCGCAGCATAGAAAAACACACCAAATGTTACCGCAGCATAGAAAAACATACCAAATGTTACCGCAGCATAGAAAAACACACCAAATGTTGATGTTGCCCTGTGATCGCTATTACAATTTATGACATACCTCTCATTTGATTCAAGAGGGATACATCAACAAGATCGAGTTTGCCGAAAATGCGTTTATGTTTTCAATTTACTTAAAGCTTACAAGGAACATTATAACTTCATCTGATATTTTTTTCTCAACGTGAAGTCTGATATAGCGAATAATTTTGGATCGTTAACTCAAAAATCGATTTTTTTTAAATATGTCGGTCTTGCAGCAAATTGTAATATCGATCACAGGGTGACATCAACATTTGGTGTGCTTGTCTCAGCTATGGTAAATTAAAACAGCGATACCAAGCGGTTATTCCAGACACTATTTTTATGGGATATTGCTTGCCTTCCCAAAAACACCCTACCGATAAAGGTTATGTTGAAAACATGCTATTTATGGCATGGGTTTTAAGGAATTATGTAGCTATTTTTTTAGTTTCTGAAAACAACAGGAAAATTACTGGGTCGAAATTCTTCTTAATATTAAAAATATCTAGACCTCAAAATAGCCTATTTAATAATAAAAAAGAAATATTTCCACTGTTTCCCTAGTGTTTTTTTAAAAAAATGTTTGAATAACCAAGCGCTTATTCCAAACACTATTTTTATGTGATATTTCACGCCTTCGCATAAAAACCCTACTGATAAAGGTTGTGTCGAAAACAAGCTATTTAGGCCCTGGGTTTCAGGGAATTATGTACCTAAAACTTTTTCTAGTTACTGAAAACAACACGAGAAAATACTGGGTCCAAATTCTTCTTAATGTTAACCTCAACCAACATATCACCCGTAATTTCAAGATTACTTTAGTTTATAATTATCTACACATTCCTAGCAATACTCGTATACAACTTATAGCCTAGGGGGAAACACAATTTTGTTCGCTTAAATTGGTCAACAACATTAACTAATCAAATTACTGTATTTATCTACACATTTAACTTAAACTATGAGTATTGTTATATTAAAACTTCTAACGGTAATACTCAACTATCGGCCCGAATTTCAGGTAGTCTTGGTACTTCAAGTGAGGAAACATCAATCACTTCGGTGGCTAAGGAAGTAAACGAATTACTGGTGGCATCCTCATCAATGGCGCGAGGATCAGGAATATTAGAAATATTTGTTGTTTTATTAACATTATCAGTCGTTTCTGGTTGTTGTTGGTGGTGTGAAGATTTGGATTTGGAAGTTAATGCTGCTGCAGGCTGGTGAGAATTTGAAGAGTTTGCCATCGATGTTACTGCGGAATTTTCTTGAGTTGTTTCCGCATTACTGGGCGGGGAACTGGGATGGAATAATTGAAATAGGCTGGAATGTTTTACAATTGGAGGGAATATCAGATTACTCATGGCCTTTAAGGGACTAAATTTCTCCTGATGATGATGGTGTTGTGGATTACGTATTCGATGTGGATGGGAGTGATGTGGTTGATGGTATTGATAATCCGCAGAAGGGTGATGAAATGTAAAGTAATTAAGATTGTTGTTATTCTGCGAATTGCCAGATGGGTTATTGCTATTCGAAGTTATCGGCAGATTTTGACTGGATGTTGAGTGATGATTGCTCAGAGAATTATTACTATTGGAATGTTTATTGATGGCGGTATTGGTAGTGCCTGGCGGTTCCACATCCCTTTGCGGTGACATTGAAATTGAGGTATCACTGGTACATGAACAGGAACGTGTTAAAGATTTATTTTGTAAATTTAATGCCCTCGTGATATGGGCAGTTTTACGATATTTGGGTTTATGACCCGGTGTTGTCGGGTTCGAATCACTGTCTATAATATAAATGGAATTGCCGCTTAAGCAACCATTGGACATGGAAGATCGTAGGCCATCCATTTGTTTCAGTTGTTGTATTTGTTTTGGCGTTAGGGGCGGAGTATCGGCGATTGAATTTCCCAGCTGATGATGATGATGTGGTGTACTTGTTGAACTGGAATCTTTATCATTCTTTGGTATTTCATAATCGCTTTGAGAGTGCGGGGTGCTCGGCGGTCTATCATCTATATCGGAACGCAGTTTATCACGCATGGTACATGCAATAAGACTTTCGTTGAGTACTTTATGATCCACACCACCATTTTGAGATTCCTGTGGTCTGCTCGGTAGGAATACCTCCTCAAAATCATCACCCTCTGGGCTGGGTGTATAGGTGCAATTGTCATAGGAATAAGGACTTTCACAGCCTTCTGATTTTTGGGTCTTTTTGCGTTTACGTCGGGGAGGTGGTGTTGGGGCCGCTGAATCCTTATCATCGGAGAAAATGTAATTAATCTCTCCTGCCTCGGCAGTGCTTGAGGCTTCGCGAATATTCCACATATCACGTTCGATATCCGTGGTAACTGAGGCCACAGCGGCCACAGTTTGGTGGATATTATTCAAGCAAGGTGTTACTACACCACATTTAGCCACCAATTGGGAATTTTTCAAGGATTGTTGCTGTTGCCGCAACCAAATCGGGGAATCTGAAAGAAAAATTGATGACAGATTTATATCTTGATTTTTCTTTCTTTATAAACACTCATTCTTACCTATATAGATCCTTGTCTGAACATTATTTCTCGAGCTAACATCCATCGATTGTAGACGATGTTGTGAGGCCAATGAGTAGCGATGTTGGGCATCCAATGTCACCTCCACCTCAATACCCATAACACGTAATATCAGATTTTTCATTGCCAATCGGAAATCCTTTAAATGATAGGCATATAAAATTGGATTTACAGCCGAATTCAAATGTGACAAGATTATACAGAACAGCGTCAATTTGGGATGTATCGAACATGTCGGACAAAATGCCTGTATACAATTTATTGTATACAGCGGAATCCAACAGATCATGAAGAACAATACAATAATCGAAAGATTCTGAGTGGCCTTAACATCCCGCTTCCGTGCTGCTCCCAGCACACGCAGCATAGTACCACCATGACATGGACCCCGACCAGTAATACTGCTGCCATTGTTGTTATGTATCTGAGCAGTAGAGCTCCGCCGACTGGTATCACCCATTGGATTCATTGTGACAATTTGTCGTACCTGCTTGATGATAACCTTATAGATATGGGCATAGAATGCCATCATCAGCAGAGCGGGTGTAATTATGGTTGCAAAATACAGGAACACCAAATAATTGTAATCCATTACCTCAACAAAGAGACAGGCTTGGTTGGTATCCACCGCTGCATGCCACCCGAAGAGCGGTAGAAAGCCGACAATGGCTCCAGCCAACCAGCACATCGATATTATCACTGAAATGAGAGAAATTAACAAAATTAAATTTGTATCCATTATAATTAAAAATTATAAAATTTATATATAAATTGAAAAATTAGACATAACTTAATAAAATATTTAGATTGATTTTAAAATATATTCCTAGTGGGTTTATGAAAGACCTACAAGAATTAAAGAAACAGCATGAGTTGTAGGTACATATTTTTTATTATTATATTCAATATCAATATCTCATTAAATTATTTCTTGTAATAGCCAATATATGAGGTTATTTGAGTCGTTTATTTTGAAAGTGGTATAAGTCCATTTTAGATTCTGATACATATCTTGGTTTTCTGGAAAAGTTTACAAAACATATTAAGTTCTATATTCTATCAGGTTTAATGATATTTTTGAAACAAATCAAACCCAATCTGTTAAAAATCTCAGTTAGTTATGAAACATGGACATAAACTAATTTCAAAATAAACTACTCATATCTTGTCACCAAAAATTGTTAGGTCATAAAATGTAGATGTCGCCTCTCACCGATAGCATAGACACCAGCCATAACCATTATGTTATTGGTCAGAAATTGTCAGTACGCCGGCCTAAGAACTTGACCATTTCCAGCATAGAAATGTGCTTTCGTTGCAGTATCTGCTTGGGTACTTCAGGGACAATGATCCTAACCATCATATGGTGGATAAGACTCCCCAACCCAGGCATGTCAGGAAGGATGTGCATGATCTAGAAAGAGAAATCTCCGCCTATCTAAATAGCACTCATACTGATGCTGTTCAGAAAAAAGAGTAGTTTTGGCCTAATTACGTTCAGGATGGTCCAGTCATCTCAATATTGGGCACTGCCCTGCATGTGGTACAGGCCCTGCCAAAAAACCTCAATTTACTCAAGAAGATCTGTGGATGCAGCATGTGAAAGTAGATGCATTTCTTAATTTGGAGACAAGTCCAGAACCAGACTGAATCAAACAAGAAGAATGTGATATATGATGATATTGATGACGTATACATTTTGAATTTATGTTTTAGCTATCAATCATAGAGCGATATTTATCTTCTGTATGTGTCTCAGCTGTGAATAAGTGAAACAGCGACATCAAGGTGTCATTTAAGTAATTATTTTTGTGTGATATTATCTGCCTGCCCATAAATACTCCACTGAGAAATACGTCCTAAATAAAATTATTTCAGGTGTTTGGTAGTTGAAGAAAATAAACCTTGAGAATTGATTTCAATATGACAAATTTCAAATAATGATGCCTGAAGTGAAATAGGTAAATACCTTGCCAACTTTTTGTGCGATTAAATTATAAAATTCAATATTTTATAGTCTGAATTCGAATGTATATACAGTCGAGTACGTTTATAACGAATATTTTTTATAGAGAACTCATTTCCTGGTCCCGAAGTTTTAAGACAGATTTTTCATACAAATCATTACTCTTATAGCGAACTAGCTAACTTTTTTATAACGAACTATTGTTTCGGTCGTCCACTTCTGATTTATTTTAATTCGTTTATTTATTTTTTGTTATTTGAATTTTGCCTTGTAAGGGCAGTGATCATTTCAAAGTAATTTTAAGTGATTATTTATACTCTTTCGAGTCGTTTATAACGAACTTGATACAAATATACATAATACTTAACAATGACAATCCGCACAAAAGTTAATTTATACCCTAACGCTGGCAACCTTTACAAATAGAAAAAGAGAATCATCTTCATAATTGTCAAAATGACGTCAAAACAACCAATTTCGGAATCCTTACCTTGGATATAACGAAGTTTTTTTATAACGAACTAATTTTCTCGGTCCTAACTCGTTCTCTATAACCGTACTTTACTGTATATACACTTTTTACGCAATATCCTATATAATTATTTCCCAAAATATGCATTAGATGACGCTGTTGTCGGCATCATAGTCCCAAACCTTAAACTACCAAATCGTTATGATATTGGTGACGAATATATATTGCTTTGAGTCTTCTCTAACGATCACAGGGTGACATGCACATTTGATGTGAGTGTCTACGCTATGATGAATTAAAACAGAGATTCTAAGCGGTCATTTTCACCCATAAGCATACCTACCCATAAGCATACTACTGATATACAATATTTAATAAGAAATAGCAATGGGCATGGATTTTTTTAAAGAATATTTCCTCAAGGACTAAGAATATGCGTGAATACTTTTAAAATAAATTTTCAAGAGTAAGCGATAGGTGTGGATCAGTTAAAAACAGTCTTTCAAGGACGAGCTTAGATTTTTTAAAAATATTTTGTCAAGAATTAACCAAAGGCGTGGATTATTTAAAGATATTGTTTTCAAGGACTAAGCAAAGGCGTGGAATTTTTAAAAATATTGTTTTCAAGGACTAACCAAAGGCGTGGAATTTTTAAAAATATTGTTTTCAAGGACTAACCAAAGGCGTGGAATAATGAATATTTTTCAAGCACTAGGAATATGCATGCATGCTTTTAAATAAATATTCAAGAATAAGCGATAGATTTGATTCCTTAAAATAGTTTTTCTAGGACTAACCATGGGCGTGGATTCTTAAAATTTTTTTTTCAAGGATTTTTTTTTAAATATTTCTTCAAGGATTGGTTAGATGTAGATTTTTGAAAGATGTATATATATGTGAAAACACACCTAGTGGGCTTTTCAACGTCGGGTTCCATATTGTGTAACATTTTTAGATTTCGCACAATGGGTCATTGAATTTGCATCCCTTGAAATAAATCAATTAAAAAAATCCAGAATGGGTTTTTATGAAATATATATTTTCTGGAAACACACCAAGTGGTATATTCAATGCCGGGTTCAATATTTTTAGATTTTGCAAAATGGGCATCGATGATAACTTTTCAAATTTTACTAATATCAATTTTTTTTTTTTTTTTTAAATCCAATATGCATTTTTTGAAACTAAACCTAGTGGGGTTTTCAACGCCGGGTTCCATATTTGTGTAACATTTTTAGATTTCGCATAATGGGTCATTGAATTTTCATCCCTTGAAATAATTAAATTAAAAAAAATAAAATTTTTCTGAAAGTACACCTAGTGGGCTTTCCAATGCCATATTGGTGTAACATTTTTAGATTTCGCACAATAGGTCATTATATTTTCATCCCTTAAAATAATTCAATCAAAAACAATAAATTTAAAACAATTTCCAAAATGGATTTTTATGATTTATTTTTTTAAGTATACCTAGTGGGCTATTTAATGCCGGGATCCATATTGGTGTAACATTTTTAGATTTCACACAATGGGCATCGATGAAAACTTTTCAAATTTTATTACTATAATTTTTTTTTCAATAAAACCATGATGGATTTTTTCCAGTTAAGGCGGTTTTGAATAGCTCGAGGAATTACTTTTCCGGGAGTACCACTATTTTGCCTGTATTATTTACAATTGGTCATTGAATTGTTATAAAAACGATTTTAAAATATGTTATAATGAACAAAATTCTGTAGATTTTTTTAATAAACTTTTTAAGAATATTTTTTAAGGACTGTCAATAAGCGTGGATTTTTCACAAATATTTTATCAAGGTCTATAGAAAAGCGTAGATTTTTTAAAGAAAATTTTGTCAAGGACTAACAAATGGTGTGTTTTTTTAAATATATTTTATCAAGAACTAGCATGATAGGAGGATTATTTAAAAATATTTTATCAAGGACGTAGCGAAACGATTTATGGAAAATTTGAGTAAACATTTGCAGTTTAATATATTATTTGTGTTACGAATCTCTTACTTTTAGTGTATGGAATCAGTTTTCTTTCTTATTAAACAGCCAACAACATTTAATTGACTACTAGCTTTAATATTGTAGGAAAACAAAACATGCCAAACTTACATGTGCATTTTAAAAATATTTTGTGAATCAGCTAGACATTCCATGGAAACTACACCATAGGCAATCCTCTCTTGAAAATGACAAGCCTTTCAACGATGACGATGACAAGAAAAGTTAATCAAATTGGTCAAGTAGTACTATGACCGACCACCCACCATTTTAAGTAGACAACGCTAATTAAAAAATAACAATGAACCCACTAAACGTTTAACTTTATTAAGTTACTCTAGTTGACGTTGTTGCTGCTGCTGCCGTTGGTGGACATAATAAAGTAGCATAAAGTGGGACGCCACCATGTCAATGAAACAAAAACAAGAAAAATTATATGGCATAAGTCATCTAATTTTATATAAAGCATTTCCCAATGCAGCAGTTAGAGTAGGTTAAGGAAATGTTTCCTTTACTTTAAAGTGGCGCCATGAAATGAAGTATTTCTAAAGCACCGATTTAGTCAAAGGGATTCCGATGGTAGTTCGATAGCCTATTGTTGACTCCATATATCCATATCAGCTTTTGAAAGATCACAGGAAACTTTTTCCCTTTAAAGTGGCCCTACTTAAATTTAAAATCACTATTTTTTCTGCTCCATACGATTTTTGCACATTTGTTCCCCTACGTCATTAAAAACTACTTCAATGCAACAAGTAATTCTTCCTATATCCTCACTTTCTTGTTCTAATGGCATACAAATTATATCGTCGTCAGGACATTAGTGCACGGACTCATGTCTATTTGTTACGAAAGTTCATCTGATATTAAATGTATGTTTATCTTCACTCGTGTGTATGTGTGTGTCTTTATCTTCCAGCCAGGGTTCTGATGACGGCAAACATTTATGACGGTGTTTGTTTCCATTCTGTGCTTTAACTATCGTTAAAATTACTATCATTGAACGAGCTATCTACTTATGAATGTCGGTCGGGTGTGGGAGCAACAACCTTTAATGTTGCTGCTTTCTAATATAAATAGCAAATTGCTGATGACCATGAAATGTATCAATAAAGAGGTCAAATCGTTATTATTTGTAACATAGTAGTACACTTAATTTTGCGGCTACCATGGGATTAAGTGAATTGTATATTAAGGGTTTAATTATGTTGCAAAATTCGTGGATATAGTTGTAATGGTTATAAATGTACCTCACAGTAAATGTGCTCCAAAAGGGCGGTTTTATAGTAACTGATCGGTCTTATAATCAATGTGTCTGGGATTCTATTTAACTTAATTTCCTTGAATGATAATACATTGCTTATATATACCTCCTAATATGGCATGCTTTCATATAAGTCGGTGGAAATTATTTTTTATTATGCCGACAGATATATACCCTCACCCCATGGATTTATAAATATTGAAAATTTTGACCCTCTGTGGGGGAGGTACCAGAAGGAGTGAACCTACGGGGTCCCATCTTCCAACTTGATCAAGGCTTGGTAAAGATAATCGGTTGTACAACGTTTCGTTCAAATCGGATAGTCCGTTTGCATGTTATTATAAAATTTTAGCACAATTTTGACCATTTTGTGGGGGAGGTACCAGAAGGAGTGGACCGATATTCCCCATCTTCGAACTTATACTATGTTTGGAAGAAATATTAAGATGTGCAAAGTTTCGATCAAATTGATCATTCCCTTCGAGAGTTATCGTGCGCACCCGCCAGCTCGACAAACAGACGGACATGTGTAAATCGACTCCAAATTTTCAGAATCAGATTTGTTCCAAAGAAACATGGGGTCTAAAACCAATATTTCGATAAGGCACATTTTCACCGTATCAAATCCATGAAAAACAGTTTGAATAATCCACACTTCTAAATAGTCTTTAAAAATATATTTAAAAAATCCACGCTTATTGTTATTAGCAATAAATATTTCAATAACATTGTTAATTTCATAATTGTTTTCTTTTTGCTCTAACCTAAATCCGTAGGGTGTTTATGAGAAGACAATTAAGATTCCATAAAAATAGTTACCTATATGACAGCTTGGAGTCGCTGTTTTAATTCATCACAGCGTGGACACGCTCATTAAATCTGGATGTCACCCTGTGATCGGTAGCAACAACACAGATCACTATCTATGGTGCACTGTCGATATTATCTATCTCCAGGCTATTAATATAAAGAATACATATTATAAAGTTTTAATAAATGATCTGTTCTCTTCTCCTAACATTTGTCAGACTGGGGAGGCAAGCAATATCCCTTAATAGTTACGGATTTGATATTTATGTTTTTTTACTAACCACAGCGGAGAAACAAACCAAATGTAAATCAAAATCAGTGCGTGAACAACATCGTCATCGATATTGTGGTGTATATGCTAACGGATGGAGGCGACATCCGTGTTTGATGAACTTAACTATTTTGGCGACAACCAAGAGCGTCATCTACTAGATATTTGTCAAAAAATTAAATTAAAACAAATAAATTTTCTTGTGAACATTTTGCAAAATCGTTAACTGACATACTGTGAGGTAGAGACATAATTGTTCTCGTTGAATCCCACAAAATTTGAAATAAACTAAAAAACCTGTCGATTTGAGCAAACAAAATTTTAAAAATAATAGATCCCGGTGCTTCAAAAGACGTTTATGAGACCTTCTCAGGTGCCGAATCATGCATCTATTCGCAAGAACCCGAAAAAAAACAGAGATTGACCGTGTGGGTCTTGTAAGGTGAGCCAAAGTTGTTCATGGAAAAAGTGCTTAGAAGCAAATGATACCACGTTTCTTCGGAAAGACTGGTTCTTCACGTAACGCACATGTATTTTTTTATAATAAATATAGTGAATTTCTTGCTTGTGGGTATCTTTTGTGGAATGGAGAGAACTTAGTTAGATAGGGATCAATTTTTGTATGCAGTCCACATGTGGTATGGAGACTACAAATGGTCGCCTGTTTCTTCGGAAAAACGGGTTAACGTTGTAACCATAGATTGTTTTTGATATTAAATGGTAGCATTTTCATTATTAGGCAAATCTACTCGTATAAGTATTAGAGTTGTGAGATCTTCTTCCTGACGCGGTTCAATTTTATTCAGTTCGCTCTCTAAAAGAACCGGGATGAGATCAAAAATTAACGATTGAAGGGCCGGTGAACGTTCGAATCAAAAGAAACTAGGTAAGCGAGCGGAAAAATGATCAAGTGGAGCAAAAGAAACTAGAACGAACCGAACCGATCGCTTATTTTGCGAAATAGTTCAAATGAACTAGTTCGTTCCCAACTCTTGAGTAGATTACTGAAATCTCTCTGTAAGTTCTCAAAGTCTTTATACATTATCAAAGACTTATACATTACAGATTATAATCGATTCTTTTAGAAAAGCGTCCCAGTTCATTTGTTCAATGAACGGAAAGATTTAAAGCAAACATAAACGACTGAAGATCTGGTTGAACAATTCGTTGAAAAGGCGCTAAGTGAACGAGAGCAAACATGAACAGCTAAAGCAAAAGGAACTAGATCAACAAAGGAATCGGATCTAGTACAGACAGTTTCTTTTGTGGAATACAATAGAGCAAAATTTAAAAATTTTGTAAACTTCTCAGTGCCTTAAGCACGGTTCATCTTTAAAAGGAATCCAGGACATTAATAAAGGTCGATTATTCAATTCAGTTTTAAGCCATGTCTGCGTTCGGCATTCCAGCAAAATAAATACGACTATGCAGGATAACGTGTGGCACAAGGTCAGCAGTTAAAGTCGGAAAGGACGTCGCGGAGCCCTTCAATACCGAACGAGGATTTAGACAAGGTTAGAGCACTTCAGCATATAAATGTGAATCAATCTTTTGTGTCTCGTACCATCGCTCGAGACCGTGATACAGGTAGCGTAGTCCGACGTCAAGGAAGTGGACGGAAGAAAACAGCAACATCAGCAGAAATGGTTCGAAAAGTAAAGAAGCGACTTGATCGAAAACTGCGTCGCGGTGGCCGAAAAATGGCTCGTGAGCCGAACATATCGCAATATTTGCCGAATATTCAAATTCCAAAATAAGTGGAAGAACTTACACCGTAACTGAAAGAAAATAGACTCAAAAGCATTTTAGTTTTCTCCGATGAGGAAATATTCGTTTTCCAGCAGTTGGTAAAGAAATAAAATGACAAAGAGGTCAACTGAAAATGTGCACCTTCGGTTGGCCTCCATAACTCAAGCACCGGCCATGGTGATGGTGTGGGCCGCCATAACAGCCGATGGTCGCTCTCCGCTTGTATTAATCGACAGTGGCATCATCATCATAAATGCCGAATATTATCGCGAAAATATTCTGAAGGGTGTATTAAAGCCTTGGGCACGCAAACATATTGGCCGCAGACCTTGGACATTCCAACAGGACTCAGCACCATCGCACTCAGCACGCGCCACCCAAGAATGGTTACAAAATGAGATTACTCGCTTCATTTCCAGCGCATAATGGCCACCAAAATCTCCGAATATCAATCCGTTGGGCTATTGTGTCTGGAGTATTTTGGAAAGAAAGGTTGGCACTAAAAAATACCAAAGTGTTGATCACCTCAAGCAAGCGCTTCGCCAGGAATGGGCCAAAATATCATAGATCAACATTCGTGTGACGGTTTCATTGGCCGTTTGAAGGCCATAATTCGTACCAAAGGTGACCAATTTAAACAAATCGAAACATATTCTAAAATTTTATGCTATTTCCGAAAATGTTTGCATTCATTCAATTATATTTAAAAAAAGTAAAAATTATGGCAGTTTTTTCACCATGTATATTCTCGGACATCGACATAGTCAGACGGATCGAGCTGCAGCGACTCCGTTGGCTAGGTCATGTTGTGAGAATGGATGAGGATTCCCCCAATCAAAAGGCATATAAAATCGAGCCAAGTGATGGTTCACAAAGAAGGGGAAATCCACGAATCCGATGGAAAGATCAAGTGGAAGACAACATTGGTGAACATGGTCTTTCAAATTGTATGAACTGCGCAAAAGACCGACGCGCCTTTTAAGTTCGGCTTATGGAACAACCGTTCTGTCACAAGCCAATTTAGTTCAATCGAAGCATTCAATGAACGGGAAGATCTTGAGCAAAAACGAACTAAATGAAAAAAATATCTATTACCAATTGCTTCTTTTGCGGAATTGTTCTAGTTCAAAAGAACTTTGATCCGGAAATCTCTCTTTAGGATGTCTATCTAAGGATATTGCATTACAATATCATTTCAAAATTCTAATCTGAATTCAAACATTGTGTAAACTTCTCAACTACATAAGCCACCAATATTTTATGATGTATGAAATCCACGTATGTATTTCCTACATACGCATCTAATAAATTAATGAACTTACCTATAGCTGTACGTGTTCGCACATTCCGCGAATAAGCCATCGGATACAATATGGCCCAATAGCGATCCACTGACACGGCTACCAAACAAAATATCGAAATAGTGCACAGCACCACCAGCAGCGACATTGTGAATAGGCATGCATGTAAATTCGTTGGTAGTCCAATTGAGGCCAATATGGCAAACGGTACACCCAACGAACCGACCAAAAAATCCGCTATCGCTAATGAGACAATATAATAGTTGGTACGGCGTCGTAATTTCCGTTCACGATGAAAGACGACAATCACCATTAAATTACCAATGACCGCACAAATGGCCACGAGTATTTCGAACACGGCATAGGGAACATTTAATTCGGTTGAGATTTCATCGGTAGTGGTTTTGCGGGTGGGCTGGAATGGGGCAAAGGGCAGATTTAACAAATTCTGCGAGCGATTGTAACTGTATTCAAAGTCCGTAACGGCAAAGAAACGAAACTCTGACATGTTGCTGGGAGGGAGTGAGGGGTGGTTGTTGGGGTGTAGATGTGTGGATGGATGGGATTGAAGTTAAAAGTTGTTGGTTTTAGAAGTTGTGTTTGTGTGTGTGTTTTAGGCGGTGGAGTTGATCCTTTGTCTCTTTTCAAATGCAAAACGCTTAATTGCCTTGGATAGGTGCCGAACTTTTCAATTGTTTTGTTTACTGTTTTTATTTTTCGTTAAGTGGTGCGGCCCAAAAACAAACTTATGCAAATGTTTTCCTGTTTTTCAACAAATTCGAATAATTTGTTCGAAAACAAACAGTAGTGGCCACTTGATTTGGGTTTATTAATGAATGCCTTTGGAAATTAAAATGGAAAATTTTTCTCTCTTTAGCAGTTTCCGATGAAAATATAGTCCTGGTTTTGTTTATCTGCAGATAATTAAAAAGTTTATTCAAGTGTTGATAATTGTGTTTTTCTTTTCCATTACAGAGTAAAGTTGAGTTTTTCTTTAATGGCTGTTATTTTTTCGCACATAACAATATTTCATATTTTCATTTTCAATTTATGTTGGTTTTTCTTGTGGTGGTATTTTCTGCTGGACCAATAACTTTTTCGATATTAATTTAATTTTTCCATCACTTTCTGATGAAAATTTATTTGACATTTGTTGAGGAGTTTTTCCATCGTCATTTTTTTGATTGGCCATCGTTCAGGTGTGGTGGTTGTTGTTGGTTTTTATTATTAAATCTGCCCGAGTTTTCTCGAAACTTCCTTTTCAATTGTCCTTTGAATTGACAGTGTAACATATGTTCCGAATTTGTTGGGCCTTCATCGCCGGCCATTCAGGAAACACGTTTTATATCTTTTCTCTGTAATTATGGCACGTGTCGTTCGGTAATTGCAAAATCTGCAAAAGGTAAGAAAACAAAAGATAATTAAATTTAGTATTAGAGATAATTAGGTTTAGAAATATTAAATTAGTATTTAATGGGATTTAATTTGATGAGGCACATGTTTATTTTTTTTTATTAAAACAAGTGAATGGAAATTCGGTCTAATAGTAGTCTTTGAAAAAATATTTTTAAATATCCACGCCTATTCAGTGTCCTGAAAATATATTTTTAAATATCCACGCCTATTCAGTGTCCCTGAAAATATATTTTTAAATATCCACGCCTATTCAGTGTCCCTGAAAATATATTTTTAAATATTCACGCCTATTCCACGTCCCTGAAAATATATTTTTAAATATCCACGCCTATTCAATGTCCCTGAAAATATATTTTTAAAAATCCACGTCTGGGTGGCGTAGGGGATGATAGATACCAAGCAACGGCTCTGATTGGCTTCAACCTCTGACCTCCCCGCGGTGCCACCTGGGGAGCTATTTTCATCACCCGATGACATAGTGCACCCATAAGAACTGTAAAAAAATGGGTTGAGGCGTCGGGTTAGTCGCCTCAACCCATTTTTTATGCCCCGTATTATAGCTGCCATGAAACGAGACATGAATTTGGCTGCGGATTTATGGTTAATAGGACAATAAAAGACCTCGTCTCCAGATTCACTCCAGTAGATGAGCGAATTGCTATAATCCGTATAAAAGCGAAGTTCTTCTACATCAGTCCCATTTGCGCCCATGCTCCGACCGAAGATAAAGATGAACAGACCAAAGACATATTTTACGAGCGCCTAGAAACAGCATATGACCATTGCCCTGGCCATGACATTAAAATTCTGCTAGGAGATTTCAATGCAACAATCGGAAGGGAAATTATATTTGGCCCCACCGTCGGAAAATTCAGCCTTCATGAAGAAACATCCGACAACGGCATGCGGTTGATTGACTTCGCGGCAGCAAAAAACATGGTAGTTAGCAGCACCAGATTCAAGCATTTCGATATACACAAGACCACCTGGATCTCTGCTGATCAAGCAACGAGAATCGATCATGTTGTGTTAGACCGAAGGCATTCTTCCAGTGTTTTAGACGTCCGATCGATCCGAGGAGCGAATATCGATTCGGACCATTACATTGTGGCAGGCAAGGAACGCACCCGTCTTAATGTTGCAGCAAAGGTGCGATCTAACACAACTCGGAAACTCGACGTCGAAAAGCTGCAAAACAACAGGTAGCCGAGGCCTACGACGCTCAACTTACCCACCTGCTTGAAGAAAGCACTTTTTGTCCCGATAATAGTATAGAAGCACAATGGCAAAGAATTGCCCACTCCCTACAAATTGCAGCAAAAGCAAGATTTGGGTACCAAAACACCAAGAAACCCGTGGTACGAGCAGGAGTGTCGTAATGCTACTGATGTGAAAAACGCAGCGAATAGGGCAACCCTGCAGACAGTAGCAACACGTAACGTAATGGAGAACTATCGGGAGAAAAGGAGAGATGAGAAACGTATTTTCAGAAAAAAAAGAACATGAAAAACGTGAGCAAATCGAGATGTACAGGAGTCAGAATGAAGTCCGGAAATTTTAACAACGAGTAAAACACCAAACCGAATTTTTTGGTACCGGCACATCCTTCTGTAGAGATGAAGAAGGAAACCTGGTAACATACACAGACAGCGTGTTGAGGATCTGGAAGGAGCATATTGAAAAGCTTCTGGTGGCGGTGAAGAAGATACCCCAGAACCAATAAGAAATGGTGGTATAGTCAAGATGAGGTCATAATAGCAATTAATCGGCTCAAGAACAACAAAGCAGCAGGAGTCGACGGGTTACCAGCCGAACTATTCAAGACTGGTGGTCAATTGCTGGTCAGGTGCATGCACCAGCTGATTAGTACAATTTGGCTAGAGGAATGCATGCCGCCCAATGATTGGAACCTCAGCATCCTGTGTCCCGTGCACAAAAAAGGAGACAAGACGATAGATGAATTAGCCTTCTTCCCATCGCATATAAAGTGCTATCCTGTGTGCTGTGTGAACGATTGAAGCCAATGGTCAATGACATTATTGGACCATACCAATGCTGCTTCAGACATCATTGGCCAGATTTTCACTCTGCGCCAAATTTTGGAAAATACCGACGAAAAACACATCGACACATACCACCTATTTGTCGACTATAAAGTCGCATTTGACAGCCCTATCCGTTCTGAGGTGTTTATAGTCATGTCTACGTTCGGCATTCCTGCAAAATTAATACGGCTATGCAGGATAACTTTAAGTGGCACAAGGTCAGCAGTTAAAGTCGGAAAGGACTTTTCGGAGACCTTCAATACCGAACGAGTATTCAGACAAGGTGACAGTTTGTCGTGTGATCTTTTTAACATCGTACTGGAAAAGGTCATACGAGACGCAAAGGTGAACAGAACACTCTGTATACCAAACAACACTTACTGACAACAGCCACCTTTGAACAAATTGGGAAGGAGTCTGCCAAAGTGGGTCTGGCAGTAATCGGCGAGAAGACCAAGCTGATGGTATCAACGCGCAAGACGTCCAGTAGACTCGGACCAACTGTGGAACTTGAGAACTACAGCTTCGAGGCAATAAATAAAACGAATGACATCAGTTTTGAAATTCGGAGAATGATTGTGATGGCCAACCTATGCTACTATGGTCTAAGTAAGCAGTTTAGAAACAAGGCCACCTTCCGCCAGACCAAACTCACACTTTACAAGACGCTGATACTACCCGTGCTATTATATGGATCTGAAGCATGGGTACTTGCGCAAGCAGATGAGACAGCTCTTTTGGTGTTTGAGAGAAAACTTCTCCGAAAGATCTACGGGCCGATCTGCGTCGACGGTGAATATCGGCGTCGAATGAACCACGAGCTTTACAATTTATACGCGGACATCGACATAGTCAGTCGTAATGAGCTGCAGCGATTACGGTTGCTAGGCCATGTTGTGCGAATGAATGAGAATGCCCCAGCTCAAAAGGCATATAAAAGCGAGACTACTGATGGTTCCCGTGGAAGGGGAAGGCCACGAATTAGATGGAAAGACCAAGTAGAAAACAACATCTTGGAACGTGGTCTTCCAAATTGGTGGATTTGCGCACAAGACCGTCGCGCTTGGAAATCTTTTTTAAGCTCGGCTTGTGGAACAACCGTTCTGTAACAAGCCAGCTAAGTAAGTAAGTACAGGGTTGCCCATATTCGACGGACCCAGGTTTGTTTTTTTTAAATCAAAGAAAAAAATAAAAATTTGGCGGTTGGCAATGTTAATCATTTAATTTGTTCCAAGTAAATTTGTTTACATCAATTTTTGAATATAATATTTCTCAAATGGCCGCCTCTGGCGTTGATGACGTATTGTTGCATTTTCCATCGTTTTTGCCAACATTTCGGCCGAAATAGCGGCTATTTCTTCACGAATGTTGTCCTTGAGCTCTTCTACGGTCCTTGGCTTTTTAACGTAAACCTTTGACTTCAAATATCCCCACAAGAAGAAGTCAGGCGGCGTCAAATCGGGCGAACGCGGTGGCCAGTCCAAATCACCACTTTTCCACAACAAACGGCCCGGAAACAAATTCTTCAGAAAATCGATTGTTATGCGACTTGTGTGCGGTGGACAAGGCCAGAACTGCCTCATACGCTTTCGACGAATAATTGGCATCACAAAATTGGTC